AGGCCGCGGCCGGGGTCTCGGCCTCCCGGCGCCGGGCGGCGTGGACTGGCGCGCGTGTGCCCGCTCTTCCGGCGCGGGATCCCGCCGCCGCTGCTCCGTAAGCAGTTTCCTACTGTTGCGATGGGACGGTGTTGGATAAGACGCCTAACGTTTGCGGTGCAGTATCGGCAAATGTACTGTTTCAGCTGTTCTGGACTCGCAACCAGAAACGAACCAGATGGTACCGACCAACAAACACCAAGACGCACCAATTGGAATTTAGGACGAGCCTTTATTCCTGGCCAGGGACTGACTGAGAGCCTCCACTCGGGGAAGGATCAGACCAGTGCCCATCCAGGGACGAGAGTAGGTTTTAAACCCTAAAACGGCGTCCTGTTTGGCAAACACATGTCACATCTGTAACAATGAGGGAGGGATATTTTTACCGGAAGAACAGTACATTCCGAGAACCCGGGAGGGTAGAGCATTTACGGGAAGAACAAAAAACAAGACATTTTGGGAGTCCGAGAAGGGCAGGGCGTTTACAACCGTACATTCCGGAAATGGTAAACAGGGAGATCAAATCGCACGGCAGGGGTGGGAACAGGGAATTAAACTAGAACCCCTTATCTCTGTGGTGGGGCTTTTACACTTCCTACTGTTGCGATGGGCCGATGTTGGATAAGGCGCCTAACGTTTGCCGTGCAGTACCAGCAAATGTACTATTGCAACCACTGAAAAATGTCTGCCCCTGTGGCGTTGCTTCTGTTGCGGAACCCGGTACTGAACCGTATAGAAGACGCTGAGCACCAAGGAGCAGGAAGGCAGCCGACTTCACTGCGCCGTGGGGCTGGTGGGGGATGGCTCCCAAAGCATCAGCCCTGAGCTGGCTTCGGAATTGGCTTATATAGGTTTTGCAAGCAGGAAGTACGGAAGATTGAAAGCGTAGTGAATTTCTGTTGTGTAGTGTGGGTCATATCTCGCAGCTGGGCAGAAAGTCCTTGAAGTAAGTGAGTCATAGTGTTGGTCATCTCTTGTCGCCTTTGTTGCAATTTGAGGGTGCTAGAGACTGTGTGAGGGGAGGCCTCGTATTGTAGGGAGTGTCTTTCTAAGCACTTAATCTTCCCCATCCCCAGGGTAGTAGATATTTTCGTTTCCCCAACCCGGGCAATACCAACTAGCCAAATTTCCACGAGTCTGTCTTCTGAAGTCAGACGTGGTGTATTCATACCATGTTTGACAGACATATTTCTGGTTGGTTGGGTAAGTTCGTTCACAATTTAAGTCACAACACCCTGTGTAATAGTCACTAGTCTGATTGTTAGGACGGGTATTAAAGTGTAAGGACACACAAGGCCCGTAAGGGTCGCACCTGATATGGTTGAGAAGATTTGGGGTGCCTCCTAGGTGGGCCTGAAACTCCCAATGTCCTCCCTTTCCATAGATTCCTAGGAGGTTTAGATATATTGTCCATAGAAGAGTCATCTCAGACTGTTGGGAGTGGAGGGAACCCAGCTTTATTAGTTGGCTGGCCCTGAGGAGCTGTGCGCTCTGAATTCTGGGCCCTGAGTAGTGCAGAGGGGAGGTTTTATAGTCTAGTTCAAATTGGGTTGGGCCGAGGGGTCCATCGAAGTGGAATTTGACAGAAGCAGAAATTTTGCAGGTGTTATATCTTGAGGTTAGGGGATTTTAGAGACAAATCGGAACATTTTGCGGTTACCTATATTGTAGTTAAAAGCACAGAACATTACCTGTTGGGAGAGGTTATGGGGTCTTGCACCATGAGGCAGGAAGTGGAACGTGGTAAAAACACGGGTCAGGGGCTTACGGTTCTTGTTAGAGTAAATGGAGGAACAAGCAGGGCCACCGGGTCCAGCGAAATTGAGATAGTAGGTGAAGGTTATTTAAGCCTGGGTGCAGGTGGACCAAGGGTAGTAAGACCATTGGGTCCACAGGAGTGGTGGAGGCAGGTTTTATAGGGGTGTTTGGATAGGGGAAGGGTATAACAGGGGGGGAGTGGAAAATTTTTAGTCTGGATCAGGGAAGTTGGGAGTCTTGGTGACGTCCATACTTGCAGGTGCGGCTGCATAGGGCAGTTGCTTGTTCATCTCCTTTTGTAAGCTCTAGCTTCCTGTTATCTCTGCCTCAACAGCTCTGCTCAGGAAGTTCTTCTCTGTCTGGGCAGGGGTCTGACAGTTCTGACTTCCCTATTAGCATTAGGTACATTCATGGTACTGCTCTTTAAAAACTGGCAGAATGTATATTTTTTTCTACAATAGCTGTGGTGAGTTCAAACCCAGTGTTCTTGTGCATCCTGAGCAAGCGCTGTACCACCAAGCTATGTCCTGAATCCCGTATGTTCATATGTTGGTGTAAACACGTGCTGGTGTTTCCCTTACTCAGGCTGCTCCACCAACCCTGGCCTTGGGAATTCGAGAACAATTCACTAGGTCCACCCCACTCACTTGACAGTGAGAGACCATGAGCAGGCAAAGTTTGACTCTAGGAAACCAGAGAGTTTATTGCAGAAGATACCGGCCACAGGCAAGCTGGGTGTGAGTGACACAGACCCGTTCGATCCCAATTCTTTTTATTTTTCCCACTGTTCCTTCTTTTTAGGGTGCTACATTCTCTGTCTTTGTATTCATTAGGTGCCATTCCTCTGCTTTTACTTGTGGACTGCATGTGTGTCCTCCCATCATACATCAGTTTCTAATCAGATTCATGAATGTCCGTGGCTAGGTATGACATGCGAGTGATCATATAATTGGGGGGTTACTTTAGGTGGGTCAGATCTACTATGCATGCATGGACAGTCCTTGGTTCCCCTCTGTGCTTAGTTTGTGGTTGCCTCTTTCTCTGTGGGTCCCTTTCTGATTGGCCGTGGTCTGTGTCCCGCTTCAGAACAGGACAGGGTGGTCCTAGAGGTCCTTGCCCCTCTTCCTTGCTCATGCCTGTCTGCTGCCTACTAAGTCATGATGACACTCCTAATACATTTTTTGGAGGATAATTGAGACATCATGTTAGTGGTTTATTTCCTATAACTTCCATTTACATGCTACTGAATTATACATTTTTAAATGGTTGAAATGGTATGATGATATGGCAAATATCATGGGTATTTTACTACATTGTAATCACAACATGTAAATACTCAAGTGACATTTGTGCAGAAAAATAGCAAAATTTTTCTTTTTTTTTTTTTTTTTGGTCTTTTTGAGACAGGGTCTCGCTGTGAAGTTCAGGCTGGCCTTGAGCTCCCTTTGTAGCCCAGGCTGGCCTCGAACTTGCAATGATCCTCCTGCCTCAGCCTCCTGAGTACTGGGATTACAGGCATGCGCCACCATGCCTGGTAGCAAAATTTTTTTTTTTTTTTTTGGTCTTTCTTCTGTACCAGAAATCGAACTCATGACCCTGCTCTTGCCAGACAGGTGCTTTGCCGCTGAGCTAAATCCCCAGCCCCAGCAAAATATTTTTCGAGTAAGAAAATTTACTAGCGAAAACAAATGGGGAATAGGAATGGGGGATGGGGAGTAGGAATAACACCAGAGACAGGAGGAGACCCGAATAGATTGCCAACGGGCCTGCTTCTCAAAAGCAAAATCATGAGGCGGGTACAGTGTGGTTCAAAATTATGATTAAGGCCTGGCGTGGTGGTGCCTGCCTGTAATCCCAGCACTCGGGAGGCTGAGGCAGGAGGACCTTTGCGAGTTCAAGACCAGTCTGGGCTACAAAGTGAGCTCAAGTTCAGCCTGAACTGCATATTGTGACCCTGTCTCAAAATAAGGCAAAATTATGATCCACCAATAAGATTGCAAGTATAATCACTCAGGTAATATTGGTCTAATAGGAGCAAGGGCATGTGGATGACATCATTAACCTTGGTCAATAATCCATAGTCTTAGTCTTGTCTTTAGTCTCCGCAGTCTTAGTCTTAGTATTGCAGACAGAACAGTGACTCAGTTATTATAATCTCACCTTAATAGCAAGCACTTTGAAATGTAAAGTATAGCCAGAGGACTGTTACTCCTTACCAACTGTGGTGGTTTTAGGAGTTGAATCCCTGCAGAATGGCAACGGACAACAGTTTTATAGTTTTACAGGGAAAACTTGTGATCAAAAGCCACACATATTAGGCGGAGGTGATGGTACATGCCTGTAATCCCAGCACTCAGGAGGCTGAGGCAGAGGATCGCTGTGAGTTCAAGGCCAGCCTGAACTGCAGAGTAAGACCCTGTCTCAAAACAAAACAAAACAAAACAAAAAAAAGCCACACATAGCGTGAAAATCATACTATCTTTGAAACACATTTAAATGTCTATCTTAGGGTGGAACAATCTTTTTAGTCAAACATCTCCATCTGACCACAAGACATTAAGTGACAGAAACTCACCTAATTTGTTATCCTTTAAATAAGGTGTCATCTAAGGAGAATATATTGGCCTGTAAATGCACCTTAGAAGTTTATAATTATAGCCTCTAATTTTATTTTATTTTATTTATTTATTTATTTTTTTGGTTTTTCTCCGGTATCGGGAACCGAACTCATGACCTTGCACTTGCCAGGCAGGCGCTTTGCCGCTGAGCTAAATCGCCAGCCCCTAGCCTCTAATTTTAGTGTGTGACATTGCCTGGACTGTTTGGTGCCTGAACATCCCTAAGTGTAGTGACATAAGATATACACATAAGCTTTAAAAAAAAAACAACTATAAACTGACGGGTGGTCTCATGTTGATTTGACATACCTCTTATTGCAAGTAGCTGGAGCACAAGAAGGCAGATACCTGAGTCTAGAAATAGGTTATCAGCGTAAACACCCTTAGTTTTACATCTTGAAAGCACTAATACATTTAGTACACCATGAAATTAACAATGAATGTTGTAGCATATGGAAACTTATGTGTCTAAATTTAGTTTTGTTTGCTTGTTTGTTTTTTTGTGTTTTTGAGACAGGCTCTCACTATGCAGTTCAGGCTGGCCTTGAGCTCACTTTGTAACCCAGGCTGATCTCAAACTCACAACAATCCTCCTGCCTAAGCCTCCCGAGTGCTGGGATTACAGGCGTGTGCCACCACACCCGGCTTAAATTTAGTTTTGTATCAAGAGCATCTTTTAATAAGATAACCTTATTGTTTTACCCATAGAAAACTCAACCTTTTGATGATAACCAATAATAAACTATAATAATATGCTTAGCAGTGTTTACTGGATGTGTCCTCCATAAGACTATGAAAATTATTGGGGTCCCATTAGTAAAAAAGATGGAAAGAAAATAGTTCAAGGCAGCTGCTTTATTCACCAAGGGGAATCTTTTCCAGCAGTTTCCCTAAGCCTAAAGGGTCCCCATGAAATTATCATAGCAAAGT